ATGTGCACAATTCCGGAAAAACTCAAACACCCCCAACCAATCCCCTATCCTCGCTCCGGCAAGACTTGCTGCAACAGAGCCACCATCTCCGCTGCTGCTGTACCCTATTCCCATCCTACCAGCTCGCCCGCTCACTAGTAGGACGCATGATATCCCACCGTCTCCTTCTCCCACTCACCTGGTCTCTTGTTTGAAACACGACTAAGAAAACGTCTGAAAAACGAATGAGAGTAAGCCCTGGCTGCAGTCATCCAGCAAAAAATCCTTCTCAACCCTACTCCGGCAAGACTTACGGCGATAGAGCCACCATCTTCACCACAACTGTACCCTATTTCCACCCTATTGGCTAGCCCCTTCGCCACAGAGTGCATTATTTCCAACCATCACAGCAACACGGTCCACTGGAACCAGCATCAAGATTGTGAAGATTTTTATTTTTTTTAAGAATCGTAGTCATCTAAGGCATATTTAATCCCACAAGAAAAGAGGACGTGAGGGGAGTTTTTCTCTCCTCATGAAAACTCCTACGCCTATTCTCGTCTCTGCTGGATGTAAAAAGCTCACAAGAAACCGAACGGTTTTCTCCTCCCCCCAAAAAACGACCCCCTGCCCTTTTACTGCCTCCACTAAAAGGCACCCCCTCACCTTCCAGCCCCAGCTCAGAGCGGCCCCCTAAATCACACATGCCCCCTCAGCAGCATACAATACCCTCTAGAGTATGCCCCCCCAGAGCCGAAGATCACCTTTCCCTCATGTCCCACCCCCTCCAAGTGAAACACCTCTCGACCAGTCACCTTACTGAAATCAGCATCGTCCCTTTGTCCTCTCTTCCAACCACCTCGGCTGATCCAACCCAAATCAGCCTGGCCCAAAAGAGAACAAACCCTCAAACCGCCCCTACCCTCTCAAGGATCGCGCCTCCCACCTTGCATAACCCTCGCAGGGAGGGGCTCCAACCCTGAAGGAGAGAATTCACTCAGCACCTATGAGCCCTAGCCCTACGATTTCACAGCCAGAGACTCAATTATGAGCTAAAACATATGGAATCCATATCCAATCAGATATCAAGTCAAATATCAAGTTCAAAGTAGGAGAGAGCGAACTTAAGCGCACTAATATAGGGATTTCAAAAGTTGGATCAACCCACGTTGAGAAGCTTATTCAAAAAATCAAAACACAAAACACTTACTAAAAATCGAAGCAAAAATAGGGATAAAATTATAGAATCCATCAACATCAACAGATAACAAGTTTTGATATCCAAGAGGATTTTCGAATCAGTTTCTCAAACCTCGGTTTAAGAAACGTTTTGCAGATCAAATGACACTTATTTGAGGTCGTTATGAGTCATCGCCATCAAGATTAAAAAACTAACTGGCAAATTGATTGAAATTTTTATTAGATCACCAACAAATCCGACCAAATCCCAGAAATCAACAATATCGAAATCTCCAACTAAAGTTATCATCATGAAACAAATTTACACAGCAAAGTAAGATAAAAAAAAGGAGGAAGAAAGTACTCCCATGTAGCATAAGAATGATCATAGTCCCACACAAAATCTCCTCCCTTCTCCTTCAACCAATCATCCTCCTAACCACTCACCCTCCAAACCCTACCCCACCGTCTTTGGGGGATGAAGAAAACCCTTCCTCCCGCTGCTAGCCATAAAAAACACGGCAAACCTAGCTCCAAAGACATCAACGGCCAGCTTCCATCTCGCGAAGAGGGAGAACCAGTGTAACACTCCTTGACAAGCCTGTTGACAAGTTGTTACAGGGGGTTCAGACCACCTACCCAAACCACTTACCATCCGGTTGAAGAAGAAGGAAGTCCGCCTGATCGGAAGAGCACTTTCCTCGAAGACGACCCAAGTAGACGCAGAACTCGTTGTTTAGCTTTTAAGCACGAATGTGAAAGCAGCAGACCGGCAAGATTAATCGCTCCCATCACATGCTCTCGTTTGCCGCTCCCATCACCTGCTCCCGCTTGCACTCCCTCACCTGTGCCCCAAAACACTCCTCATCGCCCTCCACGTGCATATGCCTCCTCACACGCGCCAATCACCATCACACCTTAGCTCACGTTCAAGGCCTACGCGGGAAACAACCGTCTCGAAATTCACGCGAGGTGCGCCCGCGTCAGAATTCGCGTGGGGCGCGGCGCTCCCGGTAGCGCTGCGCCCACCCTAGGCTAACCAAGAACACTTTTCACTGTCTACCTACCACTACCACTAAGCCTATACAGGGGACCCTGTGACGAACCACTTTCTGTAACACGCGATTTTCTGCGCGGTTGCAACGAGGGGTCCTAAGCTGGGAAGATTGGGCCAATTATGGGAAATCGGGATCGATGGAAAATTGCATCAGTACCCTTGCTTCTTCGTTTTTTTCGTCGCTTCTTCGGGGCTCGGTGTGACCTGGGATGGCCGGTTGAGTGATCGGCCGGATGGATGTCAGGCGCGCCACCGCGCGCGCGATTAATAAATGTTGACGTCGTTTCTTTCGTTTCGATTTCAATCTTTTGGGCGCGGACATCGCGCGGGAAATTGTTGCGCTCTCTTTTTGAATTTTCTTTTGAAACCTTTTTGAATTTTTGTCGAGCCCCGATGGCTCTCGGAATTTCAAACTTTCCTTCTGGGAATTGTGTCTTTTGCCTTTTTCGCATTTAGGAATTTAGTAATTAGGATTTTTCAGCTGCGCGGCGCTTTTTGATTCACGCGCTTCTTCGTGCGGCTGCAACGGAGCCCTGATTAGTCGGCGCCTTTAATCGTTGGTGTAACAGTAATTTTGGGCGGGCGCCATTGTAACTGTATCTTTCTTCTTGCACTTCGTCTCTCCCGCCCTCCCTCTCTTTCTTTTGCTGAAATTTTTGTAGGCCGCGGCTTGCATGCTCGAATCGATGCGTGGAGAAGGGTTACGTCCCCCACGCCGCGGCTTGATCATGCAGAACGCAGGCGCTCCCTCTCTAATCTTCACTCTAAGTCCTGGTAATTCCGTGTTCTTCGCGCATGCATGCACGCTATAAATTTCGGATGCGCGATTAGTCAGCTCTCTTGACCTGTTGTTGGAATCTTGGGGTTGCGCGATCAGGAAGGGTCGGCACACGAGCGAAGTAAGAGGTGAGTAGAGTAGGAGTTGGGCGACCCGACGGGCTGGTGCCGAACGCGCGGGATTGACGTGGGCCACGACGGACTGTGGGCACGGGCGAATCCGACGGGTGCGGGAGGACTAAGCGGGGTGACAACTTCGTGGGTTGGTGCGCGACGACGGACTGTCCGCATCGGAGAGAGAGAGAGAGAGAGAGAGAGAGAGAGAGAGAGAGAGAGAGAGAGAGAGAGAGAGAGAGAGAGAGAGAGAGAGAGAGAGAGAGAGTGTTGAGGTTGAAGGACGTGGATTTGCAGTTTCTTTGTCTCTTCCCCCTCTTCCCCTGTGTACATACATTTTGATTGCGGCCCGGGCCGTTTACCCGTTCTTATTTTCGTATTCTGAGATTTGGGCTTGGGTTTTTGCTCACACTTGTCTTTGTTATGTCCGTCCCGATTGCATTATACATATGATTATCGAATGTATGGTTGTATAAATGTGTAGATGCGTGGACGTTATGCCAGTCTGTATATCTTTTTGCTGAGAATCCCTGTCCTTGCCTTTTGTTGGTGTCGAATCTTTGCCCACACCTGATGCAGTTGTAGATGGGATAGGAATATGGCCCCGATAGCGATTTTGCCCTCGTTTTTGCTTATCTCGCGATGAGGGTTGTGATATGGTTGCATCTTGCATAATCCAAAGCAATTAAACCGCGAACGCCGCGCAAGAACACGTGTAAACGCGATCCGAGTTGCGCCCTTGCACGCATTCCCATGTGACGATTCGCTCCCCCAGAAAGGAGTCACGGCGGAACCATCATCCCGTACGAGCACGTTGAGGCGCCATTGAATCGGCCTGTCCTACACGTGCTCGTGCGCGGTGATGATAACCCGACCCGCGCTATCCCACCAGCGATGATACCATGACTCAATCTTGGGGCTCAGACTCGTCCTATGACCTGGACTATTTCACCCCTATAGTAAACGAGCTCATAAGGACGCGATACCCTTGTCACACGGAAAATCGGTTATGTCCGCGGGAATTCCACTCTGCCACCACTAGCGACCCTCGGTGCTCCGATTTCCCTTCCCCCGATCACACCTACTACTTCACCCACCCGGGATTCGTTGAAATCACCACCAGTTTCCCTCCTTTCCGATTTCTTCTCCCGTATCATCAACTCAGTGTCGTTCTGTGGCCGGCCATAGCCCCCTATTGGCCCAATACGTTTTGTGTGAACTGTCGACGCAACGGCGCGCAGAACACTCAGGAATTTTGGAGGCCCAACCCAGGTTCGCGGCGGCCTGCGCCGCGTGTTGGCCCCCGACGGCCTAACTTTTCAGGACACCTCCACCACGGAGGAATTTTCGCGTAACCCGTCGCCCACAGTGTCCCGGCCCCATCGGACCGTGATTCCCTTGCGCACGCTCGCCTAATTGCATTCATATCCTTAAGACTCCCCCACTTTCCCAAAAATCCTTGGCACACCCCTTTTCGCACTTCCAGGCCCACATCCCACTTCGATCAGGAAGTCGCGCTGGGCGTGAGGTTGGGCGTCACAACCCCTGCAAGCATAGCTACCTCTCACAATTAAGGGGATGCACGTTGCCCCCCACCCTCATTGGAGGTGGTCAGGGAGTAAGGTGAGGCAGCCGGTCGGGGGGAGGGGGAGAGGGCTAACGCAAAGACCGAGCATTTTGCCAGTAGCTGCACCTCCCATCTTCTTCCCCCACCTCCCATAGAGTAGCAGCAGTGGCTATGGCCAACACTCCCTCTGAGAATATTAGGGTACACTCAGAATGGAACAGATTCGAATGAATCTACATAGGCCTGAATCCACTCCAGGAAAGAGTATGTCAGAGTATGCCCAAAAACAAAGAAAGAAGAAAAACGAAAGAAAAAAAAACATCACAATCACAGGTGGGCTTTCCGGGACCTATCTGAGTTTCTGGACTCTGCCCCTATTTCCTTTTCGTTCTTGTTCCTGGGGGAAACAACCCATACGATGGTGGGTAGATGTATTTCGCACGTTTCTTCTTCTTACGACTGCTTCCCGGTTTCTTCTTTTCTTGGGTGCGGTTTCTCGTTAGTCCGGCCGCTTCTAATCTACGTTTTCGCTCTAGCTCCCGTCTCTGCTTGGCATTCAGGGGTGGCTTAAGACCCACTTTGCACCAAGGACGGAAAGCAACACTCGCTAAGAGAACGTCTTCCTGTGTCCGCTGCACTGTGAACATCGCCGGGTGGAGGTGAGGAATCACACTTTCACCAAGAGCTCCAATGGCACCATCCCACAGTCCCAGGAGGGCCTCTGGACCATTATGCAACTTTTCTCGGTCCCATGGGCACCTGACCACAAGGTCTTCGCTTTTGTTTTCTGAGGAGTCCTGCCCACCCCCACCCCAATGGCCTGAAGCTCCACGCTTTGACAAATGTGAGAGATTTCTCTTCTGTAACGCTAATTGTGCCGCTCGTCTCATGGCGCCGGTAGACTTTGTCATCGCCAGCTGGATTGCTCGTGTCTGGTTCCAGATCACAATCTCGGTGTATGGGTGCTCCATCCCCAAGCCCGCAGTGTTCTTCAGAAGAGTCACAGATTCGTAGTACATTGACAATGCCTCACTTCTGCACAACACAAGAGAGAGCCAGGATAAAGACAAGTTATGTCAGGGACAACGTAACCCCGGGCTGAGAAGAGAAATGACCACAACCCCAGGAAACAACAAACAGCAATTTCTGTGTTACAAGATGTATCAATGGGATGCTGGACCCGGTTTCCAGCAGGTGCCCCTCCCCACCAATAGATGGAGCAGTCCGACAGATAAGTCCTCAATGCTGACGGTTCTCTTACCACCGCCGGGATAGAGGACTTACACAAGGGCTTTTCTCACAGCAACAACAACAACAACAACAACAACAACAACAACAACAACAACAACAACAACAACAACAACAACAAAAGGAAAAAAAAAGAAAAAGAAAAAAAAGACAAGTTATGTATGATAAGCCTGGATACTGGAGATTTGGATGAAAATGTACAGGGTTTGTGACAGATGTGTACATTGATGTAGCGCCTGACAAACGGAGTCCTGACGAACAGATGACGAGTTTAAATCCTTTCCTTCTTTCTTTGTTTTTTTGGGGGGAAAGTACATCTACTGGGCCTGCTAGTGGTGCTGGTGCTAGTGGTGCTGGTACGAGCAGACACCTCTAGCATTCCAGAGGATGGCTCCCGTCTATTGGTGGGGACTCTGGGGAGCATCACCTGCTGGAAAACGAGTCCAGCGTCCCATTATTATGTCCATGATATAAGAGTCCGCCTGCCTCTTCAGAACTAACTTGAAAGTTGGCTGCCTGATAAAAACGAACAATCCTAAGATTCCTAACAGGCCCCTTACTTGGTTAGAAGTTGGAACAAAATTAGAACAAGGTTAGCACAAAATAAGAGGGGTAAGAGTGAGTTGGACCCTGTGGACAGGACTGCAGCATGGGGGTTGTCTCTATCCGGCTGTGTCAGCCAGCAGCCGGGATCCCGTGGGGTGCCAGAATCCCGGTTGCTACCCAGAACAGTTCCTCCCCTTATGTCCAATATGCGCTGGGGGATCCAGCCACTATGCTTATTTTTTATAGAAAACTAGGGCGCAGTCATGGTTTTATTTTGTAAATGCATTTCAAACTGTCGTTTCGCAGTCCAGTGTGGTCCGAAGTTTACAATGCAGTTGAAACTCCGCTTTGCAGAAAAGTCGCACCGAGGAGTTTGTAACTGCAATTCACTCAGGCACGTGGCCGGTTTTTTTTTTTTTTTTTTTCGGG